AGGAGGATAAAAACAGAGGAAGATAGTATGAGGTTACAAGATGATCTAGACAGACTGAATGAATGGTTCCTATAAATGGCTACTAAAGTTCAACCCGAGTAAATGTAAGGTAATGAAACTAGGCGGTGAAAACAGGCCAGACACAGGATACAGAATGGGAGATGAAGTACTTCATGAAACGAATAAAGAGAAAGATCTAGAGTTGATATCACACCAAACCTGTCCCCTGAAGCCCACGTAAAAAGAATTACATTTGTGGCATACACGAGGCCGGCTAACATCAGATCAGCCTTCAGGAAGCTGTGTAAGGAATCATCCAGAACCTTGTATACCACATATGTAAAACCAATCCTGGAGTATGCGATCCCCAGCATGGAGCCCGTACCTTGTCAAGAACAAAACGAAGCTGGAAAAAGTTCAGAGGTATGCCAGTCTCAGAATTAAGAGGCATGAGTTATGAGGAAAGGCTGTATGAAATGCACCTCACAACACTGGAAGAGAGAAGAGTAAGGGAAGACATGATCACTATCTACAAAATTATCAGAGAAATTGACAGGGAAGATAAAGATAAACTGATTAACATGGGTGGTATGCAAACAAAAGGACACAGGTGGAGACTTTAGTACCCAAAATGATCCACAGGGATATTAGAAAGAACTTTTTTCAGTGTCAGAGTACTGGGTAGTTAACAAATGTCAACCCATGTCTTACTATTTTTAAACAATGCTGTTTGCTGACCAACTTGTATATTGGCTATTTTCTACCATGTTCCCCCCCCCTTTTTTATCTTTTATTCTATTTTTTCAACACAATTTATACTTTAAGCTCAATTACTATTAAGTTTTAGTCTAATTGTTTTCCCCCCCTTCACCTTGCCCGAAATGATATGCGTACTAGTGGCTTTAGGTATTGTATGTACTAGCTCTATCTATAAATCAATCAGAATGTTTGTAACTGCATCTATGTATGTACTTTTCCTAAATAAATTGTCACCCTTGTCATGCAAATGTCACCCTATTTTTAAAAAAGGCAGAAAGAGCTCAACAGAAAACTAACGGCCAATCAGCTTGACATCACACATCTGCAAGCTCATGGAGTGAATCCTCAGGGAGGAAATCATTCAGCATTTTTTCATTTTTTTATTTATTTATTTATTTATTAATATATATACCTGTATAAGAGTTCTTACATTTTTGTTAAGCCACCAACACAAGAGTGTTTCAATCAGGGCCTTAATCCTAATTTTGTTCCCGGAATATGACCTACCAAATCGTTTAACAACCAGTTGCCCATTCACTGCTGGGTGAACAGAGGCTTCAGTTAAGGATTGGCGCCCGGTCAATCCTCGCTGGCCAATATACAAACCCAGGCCAAATTTCGCAAAGCACTGGGCGAGTGCTTTACCACTATGCCACGAGGACTGCACCTTTCACTGAACAATCTTGTACAATTGACACAATATGGGTTTGTATAGATGCTGCTTTACAAACCTACTAACATTTTTGTAAACAGCAACCAGCTACTCGGACAAAGGCCTTCTGGTGGTTGTAGTATACATGGATTTTGCTGAAGCCTTTGATAAGGTTATCTTGAGATGATTTCGGGGCTTTTTAGTGTCCCCGCGGCCCGGTCCTCGACCAGGCCTCCACCCCCAGGAAGCAGCCCGTGACAGCTGACTAACACCCAGGTACCTATTTTACTGCTAGGTAACAGGGGCATAGGGTGAAAAACTCTGCCCATTGTTTCTCGCCGGCGCCTGGGATCGAACCCAGGACCACAGGATCACAAGTCCAGCGTGCTGTCCGCTCGGCCGACCGGCTCCCTCGGTTCCACATGAAAGACTGGCAATGAAACTATAGGCACATGAAACAAATGGTAAAAATACTAGAATGGATAAAACAATGATTGAAACAAAGAAAAGGAGAGTTGTGCTAAATGGGAATGAATCTGAATGGAGAAATGTAAGTGGGGTTCCACAGGGGTCTATTTTGGGGCC